TGGGTCCCCCCCCCTTCTTTGGCAAACGGGGGCGTGGTCAGTTTGGTTAGCGACTTGTTGATTTCTCATTTACCTCATGCATGTTCCCCTTTAAGGTACTAAATACGGGTAAGCCCCCACCACCCGTTTCCTATTCTGTTCTCCTCCATCCCCTACCGCCCACTTCTCCCTCCGTTCATGATCCACGCCTCGTCTCTTCCTCGCCTTTCTCCTACCCAGGCCGCGTCCCACTCTTTCCCCTCCTCCTCCTGCTTTTCCTCCTGCTTTTCCTCCTCCTCCTCCCGCTCCTGGGCCGCCTCCTCCTCCTGCGCTTCTTTCCTCTTGCTCCTCGCAATACTCCTCCTCCCCCTTCTTCTCCTCTTCTCTCCTCCTCCTACGGCTTTTCCTCCTCCTCGTCGTCGTCGTCCTCCTCTACTCTACTCCTCTTCCGCGTCCTCTGGTTCCTCCTCCTCCTCTACTCGTCGTACTCCGGTCCCTCCTCCTCCTCTACTCGTCGTACTCCGGTCCCTCCTCCTCCTCTCCTCTCCCTTCTTCTCCTCCTCTCCTCCTTTCCTCTCCTCCGGTCGTTCGTCTCCTCGTTCTAATCGGTCCTCCTCGTTCTCGATGAGCTTGGTATCAGCGATGGCAGGTTGATGACGGAGAAGAAGGGAATGGAACGTAAATGTAACCTTGAGATACGGAAAGTAATGGTGATCCCCGGGAATGTACATGTAGATATGTATATGTATAAATATATATTCCTTCTTTCTTTCTTTTTCCTTTTTTTCGCTTTTGCGCTCTGATATGCTTGTGACGATATATATACATCCACGTGGGCGGCCTTGTACGCAAGAGGTTCTGAAACAGGGGGAGTTATAAGGAAGAAGATAAAAAACTGAATTTATTTTTTCTTGTTTTTCTTTCTTTTTATCTTTCCTTCGCATTTGCGCTCTATAATCTATGTGACGATATATATACACAAATATAGATATACATATGTAAATGGACTATAATGATTTCACGTGTACATGAAGTCTAACGATTACTCCATCCGACGTTTCTTTTATTGGTTGTATTGACTATACCCCTCGAGAGCGAGTTTGGCGTTAAAGGATTTAGCGGGAGAAGATTTGCAGGGAAAGTACGGGACGCAAGGAGAGGACGAGAGAAGGACAAAGATACGCAGAGCGGGTGATGAGAAGACACAGTGGAGGGAGGAGGAGAAAGAGGAGAGGAGGAGAATTGAAGGTGAAGAGGAGGAGAGGTGAAGAGAGGGCAAGGAGGAGAGTTTTTGTTAAGTAGTTGTGGATCCGTGTACGCTCTCTTTAGCTGTGTAGTGCATTGGAGGAGTAGAGGAAAAGGGGAGGAGAGAGAAAGAGGATGGGGGGGTTGGGAAGGGGGGAGAAAGAGGGGTTTCTATCAGGAGACGTCATCGCTTCCAAGGGGCCATGGGCACGTTGGCCTGCGAGATGGCCTGCGGCAGCATTATTCGGAAAAAAAAAAAAAAAAAAAAAAAAAAAAANAGGTTCTATCGTGCACAGGTGTCCCGGTTCCTTCAACCAGCGAGATAGCCTGCAACAATACCTAACAAATAGTAAAAAAAAAGGAAAGAACCTGCAGTATAAAAATAATATAAAATTATAAAAAAGAAGAAAAAGAAAGGTAATCCTCGGTTGGGACCCCTCTTTCCGCCCGTCCTCGACCCCTCGATTTCTCCTTCAATTTCCCCCCTCACTCCACTCCTCCACTCTTCTACTTCCTCCCTCTCCCCTTCACTCCCCCCCCTCCTTCACCTATTCTACCTCAGCCCTGTTAGACTTCTCCTTCTCTCTGTCTTTTCCTCAATCTCTTGCTCCACCAGATAGATCGTATACTGCATTGACGACAGGGTTGCGTTGTAATCGGGGGTTGACTGATAGTCATCCTACTGGAAATCTCGTCTTCATTTGCTCCTCCTCCTCCTCCTCCTCCTCCTCCTCCTCCTCCTCCTCAACCTCTTCCTAGAACGCGTTTCTTCGGCTTATCTCTCTTCCTACTCCTCTTCGTCCCCCTTATCGATCTCCTTCACCTCTTTGGACCCCTCTCTCTCTCCCTCCCTCCCTCCCTCTATCTCTCCCTCCCTCCCTCCCTCTCTCTCTTCGTCTCTGTGTCCCTCCTCCCCGCGCCCCGCTCGTCAATGTCTGTGTCTCCTTTCGAAGGGCACATTCACACTACCGCTCTCTCTCCTGGATTCACGTGCAGATTCACTCGAGAAAACCCTAGTGGGAGTAAATCCTCAGACCCATTCCATTCTACCCAATTCTCCTCTTGCCTAAATTTACATTTTTCTCGCTCCTCCCCAAAGCTTCGTGTCTTCTCTCTCTCTCTCTCTCTCTCTCTCTCTCTCTCTCTCTCTCCATGTCTTCTTTTCTCTTTTTTCTCTCTCTCTCTCTCTCTCTCTCTCTCTCTCTCTCTCTCTCTCTCTCTTCTCCATGTCCTCTTTTCTCTTCTCTTCTCTCTCTCTCTCTCTCTCTCGCGCGCGCGCGCGGCTTTCCTCTGCCTGACCTGCCTTATGTTCTTTCCGCTTCTGCAGGTGATGCTCCTGTCCCTCTTGCCTAAAAAGAGCGCACACACACACACACACACACACACACACACAGACAGATAGATAGATAGATAGATAGATAGATAGATAGATAGATAGATAGATAGATAGATAGATAGATAGAGAGAGAGAGAGAGAGAGAGAGAGCAGAAATCGCAGCCGAAACGTTTGTGGAGGACGTGCGCAAATGACTCAGCCACTGCAAAACAGCCATTGTTAAGGCGCGCACGAAGGCGTCGGGGACTGGGAGAGGAGCGGATGACAAATGAAGCTAGATTTCACTACACGTGTCAAATGGTCATCATCATCATCATCATCACTGCCAGCAAAAGCAATACATATCATAGTCCGCTCCCCTCTCTTCTACTACCGTACTACCGTACCCTCTCTCCATTACCACCATCACCCCTACCGTCTTCACCGGAATAGAACGCCCGGTCATTATAGCCGTATTTGGTGCACTTTTCAGTCCAGATACGGCTATAATAACCGGGCGCTCTATTCGGGTGAAGACGGTAGTGCTGCTGCTTCACCAACAATCATAATCAGAATGAAAGTTCTACCTCGATTCCATCAATCCATACAAATGTGCACTGCGTGCGCGCTAAGCTTTCCCGAAACCCGCCCTTGAGGCGCTGCTGCACTGCGCGCCAAGCCTTTTTCCGCACAGCCAGCGGCACTTTTTTTTTTTTTTTTTGGCTGGGTCCGGCGCCAGCTATTGTGGTCCGGTAGGCGCTGCCAGCCCAAGCCAGCAATTTTTTTTGGGCTGGCGCCCAAGGCCCGACTTTTTTTTTTTTTTTTTCCGGTGCAAGGAATATGAGTGTGAAGTTGTGAACGATATACAGAAAACCAATATTGCGAAATCACTCGGATGTCCAGGTAGTCGTATCCAAGCAGAGAGTACAAAATGCACCGAGAAACCATCCATATAGAGCAATACAATGAAGTAATGAGCCAGTGTTCAAACCCGTAGGCCACACCAACACAGTATCCAAAGTCGCCCCTCTCTGTCTGGTGCCCAGCGCCCAACCTACTCTGCCCGACTATCCTACCTACAGCTGGTTCACGCAACATGCCCACTTCGACTCTCGAAGACCAATGTACATGACTGTCAACTCCATAGCCGACCTCTCTTCATGCACCAGGTACGTATCTCGTCACCCTCAATCAGACCTTGATTACCCCACACTGCGCCTCCTTGCCTGAAGACCACCAGATTGCCCGCTGTACCCCCTGGCGCCCAGCAGCCTGGCTATGGCCGCCTGCGCCCCGCTGCCCTGCAGTGCCCCACTTCCCCACTACGCGCCCCGTCAGCGCCCTTGGCAGCAGCGCAGCATCAAGCGAT